CCTTTTTCAAATGTCTTCGCAATTGGACAATTCTTTGAATTTTTCCAGAACATCATGTTAAAAAAAACGCTTTTTCCCACCTGACTTTGAGTACATTGTCACATGCACATTGAAGATGCACCTTAGTATTATTAGTAAATACAACTTCCATTTGGGGAATCATTTTACAATGCATTGATTCAACTCATCATACTTGTAGGATTTATAACAGAAACAACAACTTCTGATGTTGTGTCATCAACATTACCACCAATTTCCACCCGAGAAACATTTGAAACAACAGCTCAAACTGAATCTACTCAGAACATTATTACAACAGAAGAAACGGCCACTGAAGAAACTGATTATACCTTGGTTTCTGGTACTGATCTAACTAAAACATCTGAACGTGCAACAACTACATTTGAAAGTTCTACTTCAACTGATTTGCCTACAGGTACTTTCTCAACGGGTAAATAGGTCTTTTCATGTAGTAGTTTCTTTAAGGTATCAACACGTTTCACATAATAACAACAATCTGCACATTACATGGTACCAAGTTCTGAATTCGAGGTATATCAAAGGGAGTGCCTTGTAATTATAATTCATTTCCATATCTGTCTGAATTCAATAATTGTTCTCTGCATTCATATTCTTATTAACTATTTTTTACTCTGATGCTTTATAGCTCAAATCTTTTTCAAATTTCTTCACACTTGCACAATACTTTTCATATTTTCAGAACATTATGTTAGAAAAAACGCTTTTCCCCACCTGACTTTGAGTACATTTTCACATGCATATTCAAGATAATCGTTATGCAATTCAACTAGATGGAGCTTGTTATTAGTAATAAATACAACTTCCATTTGGCGAATCATTTGCAACGCATTTTTCAACTCATAATACTTGTAGGATTTATGACAGAAACTGCAACATCTGATGTTGTCTCATCAACATTACCACCAATTTCCACCCAAGAATCATTCAAAACAACAGCTCAAACTGAATCTACTCGGAACATTATTACAACAAAAGAAACAGTCAGTGAAGGAACTGATTACACCCAGCCAATTATTACAACAGAAGAAGCAGTCACTGAAGTAACTGATTAAGCCCAGCCCATTATTACAACAGGAGATACGACCAGTGATGGAACTGATTATACTTTGGTTTCTGAGACTGAACTAACTAAAACATCTGAACCTACAGCAACTACATTTGAAAGGTTCTCTTCAACTAATTTGCCTACAGTTATTTTTTCAACAGGCAAATAGGTCTTTTCATGTAGTAGTTTCAATAAGGATTCAACACGTTTCACATAATAACAACTTACTGCACATTACATCGTACCAATTGAATCGACTCAGAACATTATTACAACAGGAAAAACGGCCACTGAAGGAACTGATTATACCTTGGTTTCTGAGACTGAACTAACTAAAACATCTGAACGTGCAACAACTACCTTTAAAACTTCTACTTCAACTGATTAACCTACAGGTACTCTCTCAACAGGTTAATCGTGTGGTAGTTAATTCAAGAATTCAACACGTTTCACATTTTAACAAATAACATGGTACCTAACTCTCAATTAAACGAATACCCACAAATATTCCTTGACAATAATAATTGTTTTCAATATCTTTCGTAATTCACTAATTGTTCTCTGCGTTTTGTTCGCATATTGTTATGTAATATAAGTTGCGCTGGTGCTCTGCTGCTTCAAATGTATTTGTATTTCTCACCACTGCATTTTCAGAGGCGACAACAGAATGTGTACAATATAAACCAGTCAAACAATTTAAAAGGTTATTTAGAGTTGAATTACAGTTTTACAAGGAATCCTGGCGTACTCAGCTTGAAAACAAGAACTCTTGTCTATTTCACCAGAAAGCCATATTTTTCTACAAAGAAGTGAGTAGAATCGCATAATAATAAAGTATTGGAATTTGATGAAAGCGTTCATTATTTACATGTTTCATAGATTTAACAAATATAATTTTTTTTACAGCTGGATATTTTGTTTCACAAATCTGCTATTGCCAGTATTTATATAAGCAATATCATCAACGAGTTCAGGTGAATATATCATACACTTTACCTTACACTACACTACACTACTTATTGTATGATTAGCAAATCAATGATCATGATATTAAATATATATAACACAATAAACACAATTTGATTATTACCTTTACATTGTACACTTGTTTGTATATCAGCAAATTTGACAGACAGTGCTACACACTAATGACATTTAATGACTACTTGTGGTTGAACAAATTTAGTTATTCTGATATGTTAATTAATTACTTCATTATTGATTACCTCAGTCTTTATTTTAATATAAGAGAAGTGAAGTGACACAATCTTATTGGCCGGATGTCTATATTATCTTTCTTGCTTATATTACCCCATACTAGGCAATGGAATCCTTGCCAAGCTATGGTGCAAACTTGTATTCAACATGACTGTGGACATAAATGTGTTAATGTTGGTAATAATTTATTTGGCAGGTGGATAACGCATCATTTTCACAAGACTACGTCTTTATGTATCTCACCTACAAATCAGCACAAATCAGAATATGTGTCTATGTCATTGTGCAACAATTTGAGATATGCGGGAAATAAAACAGTATAATTTGGAAACTTCTCATGGCACTGTTTTGTTTTTATTTCGGTACCCTGGTTACAAACAAATGTAAATATAATGAACATGACATGTAACCTACAATTCGGCTCGCACTGCCTTAATAGCTAGACAGATGAGAACGATTTAGTATTGATAGTACAATAGTTTTATGGCATGCTTTTGCAAAATTTCAAGTTTCATTTCTTATAGAATATAATGATTCCTGTCTCAGAATACCCTGCAGTCTAGCAGTCTTCAAGTCACCTCCCATACATTATAATTCAAGAATGGGGTAATCAGTAAAGGAAAAATTATTCTGAATATTTAAATCTTTTCTATTGTACAGTCACTCTTACGTTTGTTATTACAGCAAAATAAATTGAAAATTTTGTTTTATTTTTCAGGAATGGAAGCCTTATTGTTGATAGTACTGTTGAAGTAGACGACAACACTAATCACAATAAGACAGATATTGAAGATGCCCTAGTAAATTCCCAAGGAATTTTTAATGATTCAGTAATTTTATCCATTCAAGGTATTCAATGTGTGTTTATGAAAATTAATCATGGTTTATATGTATATGTGTATTACTAAAATGATATTTATTCCATTTGCGTGTGTTGCCTTTGAGCTAAACATTGTCTTGTTTTATTTTCTAGAAATTTATGAATCTACAACTGGTGATTATATAACATACTTTGGCAGTACTCCATTGACTGATTCATCACGTGTAGTTAGTACAGGCGCTACAGAAATAACAAATGGACCAACCACAGTTCCGATATCACCTGATACAACAATGATAACAGGTCAGTTTGATTTATTTAAATTAATTAGGCACAATGATTTTTTTCATTACTAGGTTCAATTTCAATTAGCGTATGGATGTCACATGAATATAATTCACTTAATGGCGTTTTATCAAAACGTGATAAGTCGTGTCTCATAAATTGGGTCTTGAATTATTCAAAGGGATAAATATACGCACACTATTATGTCTGTTTTTATTTGCTAACGTCTTTGAATTCGAATTCAGGAGAAGGACGACTCTATATTATATATTATCGCTATATTCCAAATGTTATATGCATCACCTAATAGTGCAAATTTATGATACTGAACAGTGTTCGGACTTCAATAAAAAACCTATATTTCATGTATTCAATCACATTAAATGTCTCTTACAACTACAATTAAAACTGCTACTCCAAACATTTCATGTTGTGATTTGGTTAATCTTTCAACATTTATCAAATAAAAATCAACAGAAGGTACTTTACTTATACTTATATTATAGCAGAGTAACTATTTCCGAATTCCACTTATGTCATAGAAGTTAGTATTGATTACAACGATTTTCATCAATGGCAATCATTACTTAAGTGTTCTCTGCATTGTGTTTCGAAAATGTATATGTTTCTCTAGTGCTTATAGCTCAACACAAGACACATCGTCTTCACACATTCCAATTTGCTTTCATTACCTCCAGGAACTAAGTCAATCGAGAAATACACAATGAAAACACTTATATACACTTTTCAGGTATTTTTTTGGGAATGACAAACCAAATATGCGTTGTTAATAATAGTTATTATTTTCAATCGTAAAACTTCTTGCAACTGA